CCTGAGTCTGAGGAGCCAGAATGGAAAAAGCAGGAGAAAGGAGGCCTCTGAGCTCTTGGACAAGCAGTGGGCTTGTTGGTGGCCTGGAATAAAGGTGTCTGTATAGGCTTTCCCCTCCTAGAAGGACAAAAGTCAGCACTGTCCAGCCCTGTGGCTCTGACAACAGAGGTGGCTTAGTGTGGGTGTCCTCCATAGAGGTGCTCTACCTCTCCTAGGCCCTGAAAAGTTTCCATAAACAAGGGGAGAATGAGCAAGAACCAGTCACTGGCACTTGGCGGTTTCCATGTCTCTTCTGCTGTTTGCAATCTCCACCTCCTGGGCTCAAGTGATTCTCATGCTTCAGCTTCCCAAGTAGCTGGGACCACAGGTGTGTGCCACCACACCCAGATAATTTTTTTGTATTTTTTGTAGAAATGAGTTTTGTCATGTTGCCCAGACTGATCTAGAACTCCTGAGCACAAGGGATCCACCCACCTCAGCCTCCCAAAGTGCTGGAATTAAGGGTACAAGCCACTGCTCCCAACCTGTTTGTTTTTTCATTTTTTGTTTTTGAGATGCAGTCTCACTCTGCTGCCCAGCCTGGAGTGCAGTGGTGCAATCTCGGCTCACTGCAACCTCCCGCTTCTGGATTCAAGCAATTCTCCTGCCTCAGCCTCCCAAGTAGCTGAAATTTTAGGCGTGCACTACCACGCCCAGCTAATTTTTGTATTTTCTGTAGAGACAGGGTTTCACTATGTTGGCCAGCCTGGTCTCAAACTTGTGGGCTCAAGTGATCTGCCTGCCTCGGCCTCCCAGATTGTCAGGGTTACAGACATAAGCCATTGCACCCAGCCTGTTTGTTTTCTCTACAGTCCTTTTTTAAAGCATGACTCCATGTCTCTCGAAGCAGAAACTCACCTCCTCTCTCAAGTGTTTCACTGAGTGGAAGTGGAATGGGGTAACTTCCTTTCCAGAGTCTGGGACAGCTGCAGTAGTTTTAGTCATCTAGTGGAACTGCCTTAGTCAGTTCAGGCTGCTGTAACAAAATACCATAAACTAAGTGGCTTATAAACAACAGAAATTTCTTTTTTTCTTTCTTTCTTTTTTTTTGAGACAGAGTCTCACTCTGGCCCAGGCTGGAGTGCAGTGGGACTATCTCAGCTCACTGTACCCTCCACCACCCAGGTTCAAGCAATTCTCCTGCCTCAGCCTCCTGAGTAGCTGGGATTACAGGTATGCACCACCATCGCCAGCTAATTTTTGTATTTTTAGTAGAGACAGGGTTTCCCCATGTTGGCCAGGCTGGTCTTGAACTCCTAGGCTCAAATGATCTGCCTGCCTCAGCCTCCCAAAGTGCTGGGACTATAGGCGTGAGCCACCGCACCTGGCCAGAAATTTATTTCTCACAGTTCTGGAGGCTGAAATCCAAGTTCTGGGAGGGGTCTTCTTCTTCCTTCAGATAGACAGCTTTTCATTATATCCTCAGCTGGCTGTGCACAGAGAGTGGAGGCAAGCAAGAGGCAGCAAGCTCTCTCAGGACTCTGGTTTTAGAGAGCAGGTCTTGCTCTGTCACCCTGGCTGGAGGGCAGTAGCACTAATAGCTCACTGCAGCCTCCAACACCTGGCCTCAAGCCATTCTTCTGTGTCAGGCTCCTGAAATGCTGGGATTACAGGTGTAAACCACCTCGCCTAGCCCCACTCATGAATGAGGGCACTAATCTCATTCATGAGGGCTCCACCCTTATGATCTCATCTAATCCTCATTACCTCCCAAAGGCTCCTCCTCCTAATATCATCACATTGAGGGGTAGAGTTTCAACATACAAATTTAGTGGGGGACAGTTAGTCTGCAGCAGGGACCACACATCATGTCAAGAGAAGCAAGAGAAAAATACTTTGAGACTGGGCTTGATCCTTACACTATCATCTGGTTACTCTTAAATCAGGCTCTCCAGATGCTCCCTTTGCAGATCAAAGCCAAAGAACCCAGCTCATCAAGAGCGGCTGCAGAAGTTGCAGCCCACCAGTCTTAGCACTAAAGGATCCCTAGGTTTCCTCTAGATTCCAGGCCAAAGGCCCTCACCACTTATTTGGTGACAGACTGAAGTTTGTGGATTTTGAAATGGAAAGCAGCTGGTATGGGAGAGAATCCTTTGCACATAGAGGTGCTCGGTAAATGCTGGATGCTGGGAGAGGAATACGCTCCAAAGGAGGCCAGTGTTCTGTAATGTGAGGAGAGAAGAGGAGGCTGTGTAGGAATAGGGGATCTTGCTACTTCAGCCAAAGTGACCAGGGGGCCTACTCTACACCCCTACCAAACTGGAGGTGGAAGGACAGGTTATCATTAGGTCAGATCAACCTCCTAAGCCAGCGTGAATTATTCTCAGCCACCACTGAGCCTACCTGGGCTCTGGTCTTGTCTAGACACTTCCTCTCCAGCTGAGGCTAGGAAGCAGGTGCAGTCACTAACAGCCTCACTCTTCACGGTGCTGCCATTAAGAACCCTGATTAGTAGAGCCCCATGCCGGGCTGCTAATGAGTTGAGGACATTAAGCATAAATGCTTTCCCAGATACGGGCTTGAGCAGCTCCCAGGAAGAAACAAACATTTTAATCTCAAAGAAAGAGAATGTAGAAGGGGAGGGGTTCCCCCTGCTTACTAGGCATCTGTTTTCCTCCCATCCTCCACCTGCCATACTTGCTGCCATTCTCAAGTCCCTGGAATTCCCTGTCCAGGGAGTGGGGTTCGGGGCAGGGAAGAACAGATCCTCACTCATCCAGGCATGTGGGAATGGAAGAGATTCTCAAAGATTTAGAGGAAAGGGGATTTTGTGGACTGCCTTGACCTGTAACCCTGATGGTCAAGAAGTCCTTGACATCAAATTTGAATGACTCTGTGATAACTCAAGCCCACTTCCCTTGTTTGGGGAGTTGGGGGAAAGGACTAAAGATCAATGAGGGACAACTTTTGACCCAAACTAGTTGCTCTAGACCAGTGGTTCTCCCAATGTGATTGGGACCAGCAGTATCAGCATCCGTATCAGCTGGAAACTTGCTAGAAATGTGAGTTCTCAGGCCTACCCCATACCTACGGAATCAGAAACTCTGGGTGTGGCAGCAGGCAAACTTGTGTTTTTGTTTGTTTGTTTTTGAGACAGTCTCACTTTGTTGCCCAGGCTGAAGTGCAATGGCATGAACACAGCTCACAGCAGCCTCAACCTTCTGGGCTCAGCTGATCCTCCCACCTCAGCCTCCAGAGCAGCTGTGACCTGGTTAATCTTTTGATGTTTTTAGTAGAGACAGGGTTTTGCTGTGTTGCCCAGGCTGGTCTCAAACTCCTGGGCTCAAGTGATCCACCCACCTTGGCTTCCCGAAGTGTTGGGAGCCACAGGTGTGAGCCACTGCACCCAGCCCAAACTTGTTTTAACAAGCCTTCTAGTGGTTCTTATCCACTTTCAAGTTTGAGAACCACTGCTCTTGGCTCTCCCTCTTGAACTGAAGGGGAAAGTCAAGAAAAGGAAGAATTATTAGGGATGCAACAAGCAGCCTCATCCAAAGAAAAAAATAAATTGGAACTTTCCCAATGTGGAAATCTTAAACCAGGCCTCAGGAGAGGCCTCTGATCCTCTGCGGCTGTAAATGTCAGAGCAGTGTCTAAGTGGCCCTGTGAGGAGGAGTCGGGGAAAATAACCAAGCGTGACCTTTTGCATTTTGCCCAGAGCACGAAGGATAATGGAGCAATCTTTTCAGGTCATTTATCCTTTCCCTCCAGCTGGAGCCAGCCCTCCCCTCCTTCTCCACCAGCCCTTAGGCCAGCTCCCCCCCCACCCCCCGCATCTTTCCCCATCCTTCATCAAATGAGAACTGGTTCAAACTGTTTCTTTTTCTTTTCTTTTCTTTTTTTTTTTTTTGAGGAGTCTTGCTCTGTCACCCAGGCTGGAGTACAGTGGCACTATCTCGGTTCACTGCAACCTCTGCCTCCCTGGTTCAAGCAGTTCTCCTGCCTCAGCCTCCCAAGTAGCTGGGATTACAGGCACATGCCCCCACGCCTGGCTAATTTTCGTATTTTCTTTTTTTGATGGGGTGAGGGGTGGAGCGCAATGGTGTGATCTTGGCTCACTGCAACCTCTGCCTCCTGGGTTCAAACGATTCTCCTGCCTCAGCCTCCCAAGTAGCTGAATTACAGGCATGCACCACCATACCCGGCTAATTTTGTATTTTTAGTAGAGATGGGGTTTCACTGTGTTGGTTAGGCCGGCCTTGAACTCCCGACCTCAAGTGATCTGCCCGCCTTGGCCTCCCTGTAAATACTGGGATTACAGGCGTGAGTCAGTGTGCCTGGCCAATTTTTGTATTTTTAGTAGATTCAGGGTTTCACATGTCTGACCTCAGGTCATCCACCCGCCTTGCCCTCCCAAAGTGCTAGGACTACAGGCATGAGTCACTGTGCTCAGCCTCAAATTGTTTCTTAAGCAGACCAGCAAGGAGTGAGGCCCTACTCCATAGAGAATAAGGGGGCAAAAACCCCCACTATAACCTATAATGGGGCAGCCGCTCTTCACACCCTCCCCTCTTTCTTAACAGGCCATACCTGTTCGTGGTGCCTCCATAGAGTCAAGCCACTCTTTCCCTGGCCTTTTACACAACACCTGAATGGTCACACTTGCAAAGAAAGAAAAGGTCAAAATCTTGCTCTGTTGCTTATCCTCCTATATCTGCTGTGCTAGGTAACTAACACACTAGATGCCTATGAATATTTCATAAATTGAACTCGAGGGAGCTCCTGGAAGCAAGAAACAAAAGAGTCTGTTTCCAAACTGGACCCACAACAGGGATCAACACATGGGTCCTCCTGAAATGACTAAGGAGGAAGCAGCCTTCTGCTGCCCGTGCACTGCTGTCCTCATATATAAATTCGCTCCACAAGCATGTGTAGCACACCTGCTATATGTGGACCCTAGATCATATGTTCTAGTGGGAAAAACACATATAAAGTAAGTAAACACATAGTATTTCAGGTGATGTTCATTACCTCAGAGAAAAACAAAAGATGGTAAGGGGGCTGAGGATGGTGGGAATGGGGTCCAAGAAAAGCCTCTGAGTGGGTGGCATTTGAGCAGGATCCGAAAGGAAGTGAAGGAGCCACATTTGCAGCTGTCTGGGGGAAGAATGTTCCAGGCAGAGGATACAGCAGCTGCAAAAGCTCTGAGGTGGGGTATTTTGCAAGGTGTGGAGTGGAGTGAGTGAGACTGGAGTGGGGTAGTAAAGGTGAAAGAAGTAGGATATGGATCAGGGAGAAATCGGTGCTCAAATTATGCAAGGCCTTGTGGTCCATAGTAAGGATTTTAGATTTCTTTCTGAGTAAGGCAGGAAGTCATTAGAAGTTTCTACACAGAAAAGTGACACGATCCTGCTCTGGCTCCTGTGTTTAGAACAACCTGTAGGGGGCAGAGAAGAAATAGGAAAACCTCTTAGGAGACTACGGCAGAGCCAGGAATTTTCCCCCCAAAGTCATCCTTTCCTTCCACATTTTAGCTGGGGACATGGCTGCTCATAAAAAGGACTACATTTCCCAAACTCCCTTGCAACTAAGCATAGCCATGTGACAAAATGCCCGCAAAACGGATGTGAGAAGATAACTGCAACTCTTAGGTCATGTTCTTGAGGGCTCAGCACAGCTAGACACATTGTGCCATTTCTTTGTGGGTTTTTTTCCCCCAATTTTATTGAGGTATAATTGACAAATAAAAATTGTATATAGTATTTAAGCTGTACAATGTAATGTTTTGGTATCTGTATGCATTGTGAAATGATTACCACAATCAAACTAATGAACACATCCATCACATCACCTCATGTAGTTACTTTTTTTTTTTTGAGACAGAGTTTTGCTCTTGTTGCCCAGGCTGGAGTGCAATGGCGCCATCTCGGCTCACTGCAACCTCCACCTCCCAGGTTCAAACAATTCTACTGCCTCAGCCTCCCAAGTAGCTGGGATTACAGGCATGTGCCACCATGCCCAGCTAATTTTGTATTTTGAGTAGAGACGGGGTTTCTCCATGTTGGTCAGGCTGGTCTCGAACTCCCGACCTCAAGTGATCCACCTGCCTTGGCCTCCCAAAGTGCTGGGATTACAGACATAAGCCATCGTGCCTGGCAGGTTCATGTTCTTAAAGGAATGGGCCTGCCCTCCACTTCTTCCTTCTTCCCTTTCCATGGGTTACAATCTCCTGGGTGTGATGATGGCAGCTGGAGACACCACCTTAAGCCACAAGATGGAAGTTACCTGTTAAAGATGACAAAGCAACAAGCCACAAGGAGCCAGGGTCCTTGACATTGTGTGGTGACTATGTTAACCCTGGCCTACTCCTGCACAGGTTCATACATGAGAAAGAAGCAAGCTTCTATCTTGTGTGCAACTCTGTATTTGGGGGACAGTAATATCGCAGTCTCATCCATATTGGACCTAATTCTTTTTTTTTTTTTTTTTTTTTTGAGACAGAATCTCATTCTGTTGCCAAGGTGTTGTGATCTTGGCTCACTGCAACCTCTGCCTTCTGGGTTTAACCGAGTCTCGTGTCTCAGCCTCCCAAGTACCTGTGTGTCGCCATGCCTAAGTTTTGTATTTTTTTAGTAGAGATGGGGTTTTTCCATGTTGCCCAAGCTAGTCTTGAACTCCTGGCCCCAAGTGATCTGCCCTCCTTGGCTGTAATTACAGGCGTGAGCCACCACGAAGGCCTTTGTTATACCTAATTCAAAGGCTATTGCAAGCTTCCAGGCAAGCAGTGACAGTGGGTGGTTCTGATGAGAGTGTTAGTGGTATAAATGGGGATAAGTGACTAGATTCTGGAGATAATTTAAAAGGTAGAATTTGACAGCATTTACTTAAGGATTGGATAAGGGGACATGAAAGAAAGAGAACCAGGAATGACTCCAAGATTGGGGCTCTAGTAGAACAGATTTGCATTGATTGCCCTGGGGAAGACTCAGGGACCACTGAATTGAGAGACTCATGTGGGGATGGCGAGTCGCTGCTGGGTCGCCGCTGGGTATGACCAGGACCTATCAACATAGCTGGCTTTAAAGTCCAGAGATAGATGGCATTAGTTAGGGAGTGAGGATGGATGAAGAAGAACAGAGGTCTAAGGACAGCCCAGAGGCATCCAGAGATGGGGAGGTGAGGAGCCAGCCAAGGAGATGATGAAGGTGGGAGGAGAACTGGGTGTGTCATGGAGGCCAAAGGAAGAGTGTTTTATGAAAAAATAAGTGACCAACCATATCATATACCACTGTTTGGATGAGTAAAATGGGGAAATCAATCAGAAATGACAACTGAAATTAGCAACATGGAAATTGCTGGTGACATTGACAAGAGAATTTGCCTTTGAAGCACTGAGGACAAGCAGAAATGGGAAGAGAGGAAGTGGAGACAAATATAGATGATTCTGAATTCCTGACAGGTAGAAATTATTAAAGGGATCTAATTTCCACTCTTCCTATCATAGTTCTAAGTTTTCTAAAGGGCATAAGGGCACCCAGCAACTCAATCTATCCAGCTTCCCTTCCACATGGGTCTGAAGGGCTCTGCAGACTCTCCTCTCCCAAATCCACCCTGCTGCTGGGAGCCCCAGCCTGCCTGCAGCTCTGCCTCTGTCCTACTGACTTCCAAGGCCGCTCTCAAGGACTGCCTTGGCAGGCTAGGCAGCCAGGCCTGACTCTCCTGGATCATAATTAGTGCTGCTGCTAACGATGTTTGGCCTCTGTGGAATAGCAACCTGGGAAATTCTGATACTACCAATTTTCCCCCTCAGTGCTTTCCCAGATGCAGTTTCCCAGCCAGTGCTGTGTGCTCTCCAGCCCTTCGCCCCAGCTGCCTCCTTGCCAGGGAGAATTAAGCCTGTGCCTCAGATGCCACTCCAGAGGGCCTAATCAGTTAGCTAAAACCATCTCCTGGCCATTATCATGGCATTATCGTATTAACACAGGAACTGGCTTTGGAGGAGGCGGGGGGCTGCTATGAGGAAGAGGTGGAGGAACCAGGCCAGCCCCACACAGTACACGATGAGCATTGCTAGTCAGAAAACTGATGAATAGAGAGAAACGAGCCTCCCAGATGAGCCCTGGAGTTTTCAGTGGAGATGCAGCTCAACCATCTACTCTTTCCTGATGAGGAGCCCACCCAGTGCTCCTTTCTCCAAGTAGGGAGGGCCTCTACAGCCAGAATGCTGGACACTGCCCCATGGCCTGGTGTCCTGGGGCTGGGGCCGGGCCTGGTCAAGTCTTGGGCCCAGCTCTTCTCAGCCACAGCAGCCCCAAGTCCCTTCAAGGCTCTTGCCTTGAAAGTGCTAGCTCATAGGAGTGTCCTGATCTCCCAGGTCTGGAGACTTTACTTCATTGCTCTGATGGGCCTCCAGTTCTCTGGGGCAGGGTGCTATGGTGGGCCCTATGTCTCAGGGTCTTGAAGGAGAGGCCAGAGGGTTGCCTTGGTTTAAGGTCACTGGGGTTATCTGGACCTTGGCTTCTGCTACATGGGATAACGATGAAAAAATCAGCATTTCTAAGGTACCTGCTACATGGAAGGCCCAAGGTAAGATCTTTTTTTTTTTTTTTTTTTTTTTTGAGACGGAGTTTTGCTCTTGTTACCCAGGCTGGGGTGCAATGCACGATCTCGGCTCACCGCAACCTCCGCCTACTGGGTTCAAGCAATTCTCCTGCCTCAGCATCCCGAGTAACTGGCTTGCACCACCATGCCCAGCTAATTTTTGTATTTTTAGTAGAGACAGGGTTTCACCTTGTTGACCAGGATGGTCTCGATCTCTTGACCTCGTGATCCACCCACCTCAGCCTCCCAAAGTGCTGGGATTATAGGCGTGAGCCACCGCGCCTGGCCAAGGTAAGATCTTTTTATTGTTGTTGTTGTTTTAGTAAACTATACGTAACATAGTCCAGGCATGGTGGCTCATGGCTGTAATCCTGGCACTTTGGGATGCCAAGGTAGGTGGATCACCTGAGGTCAGGAGTTCAAGACCAGCCTGGTCAACATGGTGAAACCCTGTCTCTAATAAAATACAAAAATTAGCTGGGTGTGGTGGTGGGTGCCTGTAATCCCAGCTACTTGGGAGGCTGAGGCAAGAGAATCACTGGAGCCTGGGAGATGGAGGTTGCGGTGAGCCCAGATTGTGCTTCTGCACTACAGGCTGGTCAACAGAGTGAGACTCCCTCTCAAAAAAAAAAAAAAAAAAAAAAAATATATATATATATATATATATATATATATATAATAACATAAAACCAACCATTTTAGCCATTTTAAAGTGTCCAGTTTTGTGAATTAGGTACACTCAAAGTATTATACAACCATCACCACCATCCCACTCTGGAACTTCATCTTCTCCAACTGAAACTCTGTACCCATTAAGAACCAATTCCCCGCAGTGTAGGATCTTGCGTATCTATCTCTTATGGCTTTTGTTGTGAGGTAGGAGCTATTTCCCCACCTTTTTTTTTTTTTTTTGAGACAAAGTCTTGCCATATCGCCCAGGCTGGTCTTGAACTCCTGAGCTCAAGCGATCCTCCTGCCTCAGCCTCATGAGTAGCTGGGAACACAGGTGTGCACCACCATGCTTGGTTCCCAGTTTTTACAGACAAGGACACTGAGGGGCAGGCAGGAAAAGCAATCCTGGCTTTCCCAAGGACAAACAGGAAGAGGACTTGAATCCTGGTCTGCCTGATTCTCAAGCTCTCTGTGGTTTCCCATCCTGAGCTGACCAAGATTTAGGGCCATTATGGAAATAGCATCATCAAGTAATATCACTGATGATTAGTAATTTCATACGTGATATCACACACTGAACTGTGGCCCGAAGTAGGAAGGCTTCTAGACAGCATGGCTGGTACTCAGGAAAGCTTCCCAAAGCAAGGCCAGGCACTGATAGTCTTTGGCCCACCTCAGAGCATTCAGAAAGTGAGGATCCCCCACACTCTCCTTTAAATTGGTGCCTTGCTCCAAAGCTGGCTTTGCTCATTTGAAGGCAGTAGGCTCAAGGGCTTGACACCACTCAAAGGCTCACCCTCTGTGGAATAGTGAAAGGAGGATGGGCTGGGGGGCAGATAGGCTTGGGTTCAAATCCTGACTCTGCCACTCTGTAACCACTTGTGGCAGACTCTTAGGGGAAAAAAGATCCTTTGAGTTAGCTCAGGCATAGAAGTTTAGTATAAAAATACACGTGGAACCACTGTGGCCTCTAAGGAAACCCCAGGGGCAGGTGCTGAAGCTGAGAAGGAATCTGAATTCAAGACTCCTCAGGGGCTCTTGAGGGGTGAAGAGGTCACAGCTCTTCCTTCTCAGGCTCTGCCCACCCTCAATGTGATTCCACCACACTGGGAGCTTCTGCGTCTCTTCCAGGCTCTGCTCCCTCTTGGGGAACTCTGACTCAGGTTGAGGTGACTAAGAGGGAATTCTGTTGGCCAGCTGTCTTTCTGCACCAGACAGTAAGTCAGAGGTGACTGGCTAGCCCGTGGACCAACAGGTCTAAGGTTAGAACCACCCTCTGGTCTAATCACCTAGGGCAGAAGAGGCAGGCGTAGATAAGTGGTGATGTAAACAACTGGGGTAGGGGTGATGTCATATGGTGTATAATGTGGCCTGCTGCAAAGTCTTGGCCAGTACAAAGTCCCTTAGAAGGGGTTGTAGGGTGGGTAGGTAAACAGGACTAATACACATATTGTGTATGTTTAGGCAAGTTTCTTAACCTCTGCGGGCCCATTGTTTTCTCATCTATACAAATGGGACAATAACACCTACCTCATAGGGTTTTTGTAAAGATTAAAAGCACAGGAAAAAATGAAAGGGAACTCAAAGTCCCTGGCACACAGTAGCTGCTTGATGAACATTGGTTTCTCTTCCCTTCACTTCTGTAGGAAAGACCATAATTTGTTCTCTCTTGTTCCCTTTGTTATTCCTTTGTTCTCTAGTAATACATTTTGTTCTCTGTGGCAGAAATGGGCCTCCTAGCCAAGCACCTAGTTGGAGAGGAACATGGAGTCCCCTGTCTTATAATCCTGAAGAAACCAGTATTGCTAGCTAACCCTCTTCAAGAGTCTTTGGCAGGACAAGTGATGGGGAGCAAAGAGGGCGCCTGTGTCAAAAGGAAGATAAATGTGCCCCATGCTTAGGAAGACACTATGATGGAATGCCTGGACAAAGCAGCCTTTTTTTTTGAAATGCTATGAGACGATAAAAATGAAAATAGGTCTTGCCAACTCAAGGGCCTAAGGCAGAAGAAT